ATTAATTAAGTTGAAATATATAATTGAATATATTTTAATCATTGCGATAAAAACTTATTATTTTTTTATCAAACTGATTTAGTATTAGATAATTAATAATAAAAATTATGTTAAAATGAATATTAATTTTTAAAGTTATATGTGAGAAAAAATCACAAATAGACCGGCACGTCGCCAATGGAAAACATAAAAGTGGATTGACTTGACTCGCTTAGCGCATGGAATAAATAGAGAAATTAGAAGTCAGCTTAAATTAGTTAATTCTTTAATTTCGAACGTAAAAAAATATTTGTTAAAGCATCTCTTCCAGTTCAAGTTTATAGAGAAATATTGCCAAATGTTCCTTTACCTCCTGACCCTGTAATTACTGGATGGGGAACGTAGTTAGACGCAGCCTTATTTCACGCGAATCATTAAACGAATCAAATAAAAAACATTGTATTAGACTTTTCAGATTCAGCTGATTCAATTAAAAAACTAAAAAATTATATGAAAATGTGAATTTACAGTTCAGTTGACATATATGATAGCTAATTTTAGTTTTTTAAGTGTTTTTATTAAAAAATTAGAGACCGAACAAATGTCTTTGTTAGAGTCAATTTCAATAGTAGAAAAGTGCGACCTTTTGTTGAAAAAAAGTTCCAACCAGAATAGGGAAAATTATTCTTGATAACTTTAATAGTGTAACAACAAAAAAAAAATGAAGGGTTTCAAAAGTTACTTGAAATTTCAAATTTTTTTATCATTAGATGCGACGGTTGATAATGATTTACATTATTTGGAACCAGAACATCCTGCCTGATTTAAATTCAAGCCAATTACTTCGGTCGACGTCGGAAGGACGTTCTCCAAGCACAAAAGCATATTAAGCGATAAAAGACAAAAATTAACCATAGAAAATTTAGAACAGCATTTAATTGTCAATTGGCACAATAATAACAATAGGTCTGATTGTAAAACTAAATAGTTTTTACCATACTGCTTTAATATAGGTTAAGTGTAAGTATATAGATATAAATCATTAATTTATTACTACCTAATGTTAATAAATACTCCTAATTAAGTATTATTATTTTTATTTCCTTCATTTTCAGTAAACAATATATGTAAAAAATAAAGGGCATAAAAGTACATAGAAGGTGGGAAAAAACATATGTTTGACATATCTTTGGAAAAATCAGACATATTAATGCCCATATTTTAAGCATTTCCTGTACATAAAAATCTGAACTCTACTGATTTACACGGTAGCGGTCTTCCATCTTCCATTTTGAATGCTCTTTTGTATCTTGCTACAAGTGCTTTCACTTGCGCCGAGATAAGTTCTGTAGGGTGTAATTCGTAATGATATGGCGGTTATAGACGATATTAAAAAAAAACACTTTAAAATGAAAACATTTTATTCTAGGTAATTCATAAATATCAAACTTACATATTTCTTAAATGAAAGACCCTGTATATTATGGCATTAATAAATACTTCTTTTTTTATTCAGTAGATTTAAATTTTTCAATTTTAATTCTTCCTTAGGCTTTCTCCATATAGATATTTTTCACTGGGATCCAAATAAGTTTATTTTGGTCTCATCGACAAATGTTACTGAATTCCAGAAGTTCAAATCTTTATCGATATGCTCTCAAGCGAATGCCAATCTATTTGTTCGGCTAATGAAAGGCTTATTTCTGGCAGTTCGACGATGTAAATTATTTTTTCTCAGGATTCGTCGAATTGTTTCGGGATTAAACCTTTTTCCAAACTGTCTTTCCACATCGACACACATCTTTGGAGCGCCTTTTTTTCGATAATTTGGTACCTCTTTTACAATCCATCTTTCCTCACATTCATTTATTTGGAGCTAACTTTGACTTATTCTATAATAAAAAATTAGATATAATACATTGACACAATATTTGAACACTGCGTGTGTGAGTTTGCGAGATGCATCGGGAATTATGGCTTGGGTGATCCATAACTACTAAACCAGGTAAAAGATATTTTAAATATTCACCAAAATAGTTCAAAAACATCCTAATTCATGTTCTTGTGACAACATCCCGTATGGCAAACTGAAAGGTTTGCAAACCTTCATTTTAAAATTCCTCTGTGCTATCAGGCAGGCGTCTTCTCGAATAATAAAGGTACCTTAATACCCCCTGACACGTTTTTCATGGAATCTTTTTCGGTCACTGGTTAAATTTTTTTCTTGCCTTTCAGTACTGGATTATACTATACGTATATCAGATTCACAATAGGGACAAAAAAATATTTTATTGTACGGAATTGAATAACATGGTTTCATTACCACATTATTATCAAGACTACGGGCAATTTAAAATTTTCAATTTTTTGCAACATCCAAGTAAGCCATGAATATTATATTATTGTTATCGTTCCTTTTATTAAAATGTAGAACAGCATTGCTTGCGAAAACCGTGATCTTGTAATTTTGATAATGGAATGGAATCCATCGTAATGTCTCATAAAATAGCAATAAACGCCGCCAGCAAAAGAACAAAGAAAAATCTTTTTGGTCGTTCTCGAATAGTGATCTATCTATCTAATCTATGTTACTTTTACCAGCAGTATTATAAAAACGTAATTGAGATTAATAATTATTTAAAATTATTCCTAAAAGTCTGCATAAAACAATGAGCAGTGATTGTATTTTCTGAGGTGTGACAACATTAGCTACATAATCTTTTCTGTTATTTTTTCTTATTATTTAAAATCCATTGAGCCATTTTGTCTCAGTGGTTCGTTAATGCACCACCTATTCTATGATTTTTTTGTCACATCCAGGAAATATTTTTGCACATCCATTTAGAAATTTTATTATTATCACTACTAAGGGACATAAAACCGTAGAAATCGCTAATTTATGAGTGAAGGAAAGATCTTGTATATGACTTCAAAAGTGGTACATAAATTTGTATCACATTTTCAAGTAAATCCAAAATAGTAAAAAAAAAATATTTTGGATTTGTATCCATTTGTATTTGTTAAGTAGATTACATCGCAGAAAACATATATTTGAAATACTACTGTGATTATGCTTTATTTTTTGAAAATATTTACTGGTGCGTGAATACGCCACTGGTTTTATCTGTGAAACAAAACTTTGTTATTACAAGTCTAGACAAGTCAGCGGATATAGAATAAATATCCAACAATTAGCGTGTTCTTTAGTATTAGTTTGTGCCTTGTGCAGTGAACGTTAATTCGTAAAATATGGCATTTCCGAGGTATTTGACTCAAAAGGAATTAGAGGCGGCTATGGAGGAGATCGTCATGGATGACGACAGTAACAATGAAAGTCGTAAGTATTATTTGGATTTACGCATTCTTATGTATTGTAGCATTGCACTCCTTGCAAATTTTATGCTAAAAATAACGCGAAAAAATATTTACAGAACATCATCAAACTCTTGACTGGAACCTTCGGCACTGCACTAACACGTTTTACCGAAACCCAATTTTAAGTACTCGACGCGCGTTTCGCCAACCAAGTTGGCATCTTCAGGAGAAGATTAAAACTTGAGTTTTTCCTAAGATTAGTGGGTTGTCTTGGAGCACGGTTCAGCGAATTTTAACCGAAGATTTGGGAATGAAAAGAGTGGCTGCCAAGTTTGTTCCTCGTGTTCTGACTGACATGCAAAAAGAACATCGACTTGAAACATGTCGTGCTTTGAATCAACAGCTCGAAACGCATAAAGATTTTCTTTCATTACTGGTGACACGTCATGGTGCTATGGTTACGACCCAGAAACGAGGCAACAGTCCAGCCAGTGGAAGACGTCACTGTCTCCCCGTCCAAAAAGATGTCGTCAGGTCAAATCAAACATCAAAACGATTGGACTTATCCTATATTCTCTCAGCAAGATTAATATTGAATTAAAAAAAAAGACCGCTGTATTCCTCCACTGAAATTCTGAATCATTGTTCAATTACATCAGCTGAAGTAACTCTTGGCAAGAGATAATGAAACGTGCACAGTTTTGGTTAGTACTTTTTTCTTCTCTGACTTTAAAACTAGACTTATTACTTTTGAAAGCAAATATTACAATTTTCGAAAGCAGTTCAGTCATTCATGCCATTTCGAATACATACTAACTTAGTGCTTGTTACTTTCGAAAAATTCGATTTTTCGAGTTTTCCTCAAAAACTATTAACCAGATCTACAAAATTCTTGAACCAAAAGACGCGGAATATTCGGTACTATAACTTTTATTTTAAGCATTTTTTAGAGGGATTTTCAATTATACACAAAAATATAAAAGACCCTGAAGATTAAATTATATGTCGTAAATTAAAATTTGTAGAATATATGGCTAATTGGTTTAAACGATATTCGTCTGAAAAAATCCAAATGAAAATCACCGATGTAGACGCGATGACGTCATTTACTATTACCACGTACTGCATGATTTCAAAAAATAAGTATTGCCTTGAAAATTACATACTCCATTGGAAAAAATCGTATACCAGGAAACGGGAGAGATCCAGGGCTATTACCTTTATGTAGAACATTGTTTGAATTATATACAAGGTGTGTCGGGCAAGAAAATTTCCGTTTTTGTGAGTAAATCATTGAGGATAAATGAAAAACTGTTAAAGTTCGCGATAATTTGATTTGAACAGTATCGTAAACCGTATAGAGAGAGATATCCAGCTTTCGCCTATCATACAGGGCGCGCGAGATATTTGAAAGAATATCATTGGAAATCGCTATTATTTGTAAGAAATTTTAATATTTGTCAAAGTTTGCCGTAACTTTGAAGTTCAGCGAGACGTGCACGAAGGTTTAGACAGGGTGTATGCGCAATAAAATTATTTTTTATTTTGCGAAAGTTCCATAGTGGTCCGCAGGAGCACGATAGAAAAACCACGAAGCGGCTCCTTTTGAAAATACAAAGCTGCTTCGCGCTGCAAACTTGTCTCACGATGTTTCGAAAAAATCGAGACATGCAAAGTAAAAATAAAATAATGAACTTAAATCTCACCTGCGGTAACGGATCCATTTATAACGTCAACCAGATACACAAGTATTATAAAAAACATGATAACGTCTCGGGAATATAACGCCATCCTCGCCGAAGTATAAAACTTTCTCAAACGGCAACGGCGGCAACCATCCTTCCAATTCTTTACTTCACAGTTCACTCGGTTGAAAATACGTTTCGCAACACCAACACATCCTGACAGATCAGGTGGAAACCTGGCTGGGTAACTTTAATCACATTTTTGATCTGTCACTTGCAAAATCTTTTTCCGACCGACGTGGAAAAGGAAAAAACCTGAAAAATAAGATAAGTGTTAAAATTTATTGTTTCCAAAGAGCCGGGGATCTTCTCTGTCGGAGAAGTGAAGATTATATTATATATATTTTACGCGACAGACATTTTACGCCCGCTTAACAAGTGAGATAAAAGATTTTGTTTCCATTAATCTTGTTAAACTTTAGAATTTATCGAAGCGAATCCATTGTGTGACGATAAGTCGGCGCTTTCGTAGTTAAACCCGTTAGAGATTAGGATAGTAACTTGGTTTTTGCATGATACAAACGGACACTAGCAAATTTTATTAATTCGAATATAAGATCGCCTTTTGGCTTGGAATGCCGAATACAGGGCGAGGAGGCTTAAGCTCCGCGCTCTTGTTCTTGTTCTTGAGGTTATCTAGAATAATAGAAGAAATAAGAAATTAAAATTAATACCAACGGATTATAAAAAAAATGTTTTTTTCCGCAGTTGGAGCATCGTAAACTCCATCGATTGTTATTTTTCAGAACAGGCCAAATAGCCAGATAGTATTGTATCTTACAATTTACAACCTAAAAATTGGAACTAATAGAAAAAGATGCGAAACGCTTTTGGAAAAGCGCTCGTAGAATTAATTAAAAAATTTGGTAGTTTACTAAAATGAGTAGTTAGTTATTCGCCTTATTTACCAACGTCACATATATTAGTTCCGACCAGAGAGGCTTGGTCTGCGTTATTAATAATAATAAAAATAATAATAATATGAATATGAATAATATGAATCAGGAGAAAGTTAGTTGTTCTCTGACGACACATTCTAGCTTAAAGTTACTCCGCTGAACTAGCAAGTACTAAATTTTAAACAATGGCTTGCATATACTTTTAAGATATAATTTTAGCAAGGAATAACTATGCTAAACAATAGTCACTAAGTTTAGATTAAATTCAATTATATACTTGTCAAGGAAAGTGCTGTGTAGTAAATATTTTTTAAATTTAGAAGTAAGCATTCTGATAAAATGCTGCATTACTAGAAATCGAATCCTGAAACATCGTGCACATGGCTTAATTTTTTCTTATAACTTAGTGGAACATTATGACGAACTACCAATCTTTGTCTGAGTGAATCGACGGAGTCTTTGATTTTTAATAATTTATTATAAAAACGTGCAAAAATAATGTGCACGTCTAAAATTCATGCTAATCTCTTGCAAGTTGTTGAATAGGTTTGATCCATGATCATAGTTTTTTAAGTCGTATACATAAACATTAAACATAATCATTTTTCAAAGAAGTTTCCACAGGCTACTGTAACAACTTTTTACAAAACTTCTGGAGTCGAACTTGCTGACGTTTTGCCAATCATCCTGTTGGCTTCTTCAGAGCTTGACTGAAACTGTTTCAGACGCAGGAGGAATCCAGAAGTTTTGTAAAAAAAATTATTCACATGACATATCAGAATCACTATCGCTATCATCGCCTGTTCTAATTATTATTTGCAATATGGATATACGATTGTTCTGCTTTTTCTATATGTATAACAGAATTTGCCCAACTTTGAGGAGGGATGTTAAAAACTTCGGTTTCAATAAGTTTGAGGACATTGGAGTTAACACGTGGAAAAACATTGTTACGACGAATGGCAGATTTCAGTTGGTGCCAAACATGTTCAATAGGATTAAATATGCAGTGGTAGGGTGGAACCCTTAAAACTGTATGCCCTAGATTTTTTGCATAATTATCACAGACGTATTCCTTTTGTAGGTTCAAGCTTTGTAGAACCTCAATTAATTTCTTTTTGGTATAATCTTCCTCAGGAATAAATGTCGTTATTATACATGTAGTTTTGGATTGTTGCTTTTGTGTCACATGAGGAAGGGGTTTTAGTCAACTGTCTACTGTGATAACATGCATTGTCCACTACAATGACGCTATTGGGAGGAATGTTTGGAACTAGTTTGTTTTTAAACCAACATTCAAATAAATCAGACGTGGTGTCTTCATAGTAATTCTGAGAAGAATATTTAATATTTTTCGGAGATAGAGAAAGTCCATTTGGAATCCAACCAACTTTAGAGCCTGCATACAAAATAGTTATTCTTTTACCTCATACATACACTAGACTCGCACATATTTTGCATAATTCGCACACTGTATTACACACGAAATAATAATGATTACTAATAAACTTAAACTAAGTAGTATACCAAACCAAAGAATATTAAACACAGGTAGGTCTAAAATTAAAATTATTTTCTATTACGGACCACAATTTTACCTGAATTTAAATTCCGAAATTTTAGGTTATAATCTTGTTGCATTGTATGTTAATGACCACCCTTGGACAATCCCATTCGAACGCAATTGGTCACTTTCTTATATTTATGAACAGACCATGCTCGTACCCACTCCGCAGAACTTAGCTCGTGCCACAATAAACTCGTGACTGTCGTTTATAATACTTGGTACATAATACACTATAAATGATTATGAAAAAATGAAAATTTTAAAATTCGTGCTGTGATTTCAACACATTTTACAATTCACAGACTCGCGTATCTGACTACAGTGGCATTTTCTCATAAAACTTGATGGTCTTTTGTGACCTAATGAACAAATTAAATCAATTAAATATTTTTCCACTTATATTTGCAACTAAATAAAAATTTACTATAAGAATTTTATCTGCGTGCTGTTTTTTTCTTTCTGGGGCTGCCTACCAGGCACAATTTCAAAATGCGCACAGCTAATTATGAATTGTATATTTTTTACCGACAAACATAAAATATTCTGTATACTATTTTCTATACAAAGGCGTAGCTCTAACGAGACAAAAGGCTCCATTCGTGTTGACTTTTCAAACATATATAATATAATATAAAAGTATTCGAGAGACCCGCATTCCGCCATTGCTCTAAATATTTTATGCATGAGTGCAGCACATACAACTAGGGAACAAATACAACGATCTGGCTATTCAGGATCCATTCTGCGTTTGGCGATTCGTCAGGTTGAAGTTAATTTATTAAACGAGTGCAACAAAATAAATAAATTGTACCAACATCAGAGGTGTGTTTTTGAAAATGACTTTCTCGACTGCGCATGATCGTAGATGAGTTAGATATTTATATGAATTGGAAGGGAAATCTTGGAATCGCTTCATTTTATTCCCAATGCGCCCATTCCTTCGCGAAATCAAAACGAATTTTCCCTATTTCTGATCAATTTCAATCCTTGCAAAAATCTTCTAAAACCAAACTTTTCTTGCTGGTTCTGGAACGATTACACAGATTTTATTTATCTCTACATTATATTTTACTGTTCACTTTAATTACTAAGATTCTACAGGAAAATTCCCAAAATACTAGAACATATTCCAAACAGTATTTAGATAATCATCGTAGTAGTCAAAATTTCATGACAGGTCTGCCAAGCTGGGCGCAGTCTTCTCCAATGCACTCTAAATAATAAAACACAAAAAAATACAGATAAATGAATTTCTTAATTTATTCTTCTTATAGGTTGGAGTAAATTAATTTTAAAAATTAAAAAAAAAGATTTTAGTTATAAAAATATCAGACAACATTTATATTTTGAAGGAAGCAAGAGGATTACGCATTTGTCCGTAAAATAGTTGCGTAATTTCCACATTTAGTTCGAATATGCCCGTAAAACAAGTTAACAAAACTCATGAATTAATTCCGGAACAATTGCCAGTTCGGACAGTGCATACTCAAAGCATCGCTGATAACAGATCAAACATTGTTCAAAAACATAACACCGAAATATCTAGATACTCGAAAAGCAAAAGCAGCACGCAATAATACCGAGTATTAACTACATTTGAACTATGGCAATTCCGCTGTGGAAAATAATAAATAAAGTGGAGAAACAGAAACGTTATTGCATTGCTTATATTGCCTGGACGCTTAAATTTTGTAAAAGCCCAAAATTGTCCTAGAAAATTTCCGTCTCTATATAAAATTAGAACAAGAAACTTATGACTTAGGAGAAAATCAAGCACAAAAATAGAGCATACAAAATAGAGATAAAATGTGAATAAGTCCGATTGGAGCTTACATTTTATGATCTGCTTTTGGCATACTATATTTATGTTTGACTTAAATTCTATTGATGAAAAAGTAGCTTTCTTTAATGAAAATATGAACATTCTGTTGGATGCTTATTCTCCATTAAAAACAGTCACCTTTGAAAAAAACACTTACCTTGGATCACAGAAAAAACTAAGTTTCTAATAAAATTAAGAAACAAAGCCAAAGTTAAGTACAAAAATATAAAAACCCCTGAAAATCAGGTCCGTTATAGAGAGTTTAGAAACTTTACTAACAAAGTGATCCACTGGGAGAAAAAAGCATATACATACATTCAAAAAAGTATTTTGGAAATCTCTAAACAAATTATATGTGATAAAAAGTACAAAAAACACTGAAAAAATATTCCTGACCAACTATCAGACAAAGATTTAATAAAAAAATCTTCCATTTACTCTATTCCAATTTCAAAGTCAACGTCGCCAATGATCGATTACTATGAGAACTTTCCTTATCCGCAAGATAAATTTCAGTTTTCTATAGTTTCAGAATCGCAAATTGCACACATTCTCACTCAAATTAAAACTAGAGCCGTTGGTCATGACGGAAACCATATCAACTTTATAATTTTTGTTGCCCTTTTATATTAAAGTACATATGTCATCTTGTAAATTTTTGCATCACCCATTCTGTTTTTCCCTGACTTTGAAAAGTGGCTAATATTGTCCCTCTTCCTAAGTTTGACAACCCTCAGTCGTTTAGCGACTTAAGGCCCATTTCCATTCTACCAATATTATCCAAGATTATAGGACGCGTCCTCAAATGCCAAATAACAAATTAGGTTGAAACCGAGAAACTAATTGACAAAACACAGGCCGGTTTTTGGAGGGGGCACAGTTGTGCTGCAACATTAGAGGAATCGATGAAGGTAAGTGCACTGTGTGGGTTCTACTCGATCACTCTCAACAGTGACCTTGAAGGAAT